TAGTACTGGAAATCCTAGCCAGAATGATTAGAAAAGAGAAAGAAATAAACAGTATCCAAATTGGAAGGAAGAACTCAAGCTTTCCTTGCTTGCAGATTATAGGCTATTGGATTTAGAAAAACCTAAAGACTCTATGAAAAACTGTTAGAACTAATTTATGAACTCAGTGAAGTTTCAGGATGCAGAGTCAGCATACAAAAATAAGTAGCATTTCTGTATATCTGTTGTGAGCAATCTGAGAAAGAAAATCAAGAAAGCAATCCCATTTAGAATAACTATTAAGGATACCTAAGAATAAATTCAAGCAAAGAGGTGAAAGATCTTCACGATGAAAAGCACAAAACACTGATGAAAGAGATTGAAGAGGACACACAAAAATCAAAAGATATCCCATGTTCATGGGAAGAATTAATATTGTTCAAGTATTTACACTACCCAAAGCAATCTATAGCTTCAGTACAATCTCTAAAAATCAGTGACAGACTTAGATAAAAAAAAATCACAAAATGTATATGGAACCAGAAAAGACCATAAATAGCCAAAGCAATCCTGAGCAAAAAGAACAAAGCTGGAGGCATTGGTGCATCTCACTTCAAAATATATTACAAAGCTATAGTAACCTAAACAGCATAGTACTGGCATGAAAACAGATACATAGACAAATGGGACATAATCCAGAAATAAATCTTCCTTATACATTTTTAAATAGACAAATGACCCAGGAGATGTTTTGCAGGGTCCTTAAGCACCCAAATATGGCTTGGATCTGAAAGCAGGAATGAGGAGGGTGGTAGAAAACGGAGGTCCCAAGATGGGCAGTGGACTTGATATACCCTTGCTCTTAGGCTGGAGAAAGCAGCTACGAGGTAGGATTGAGTGACTGGAGGGTTCTGGTGTCCCCCAAAGTTCTCCTACCAGCCCACTTACTGAGAAAAGCAAAGCTTCAAGTAGTACAGCATCCCAGGGAAAGGGAAGATGGTGACCAGTGTGAACTCGTGCTGGTGACTCATAGTGGGTCATTCCCAGGAGCATGTTTTAAAGGAGAATGAGCTGAGACTTTTCTCAGATCCTTACTCATTTAGCCCAAAGCAAGAGGTGGTAGAAGTCACACATACAGGGTGATAGTGTGAGAAATGAGGACCCTTGCTTCCCACAGTCTCAAATTTCTAGGAACTAGAAAGTGGAGGTCACACTTGCATCACTATTAGCCAACAGTTTGTGAGGATAGTAATGGAGCAGGGAGAGAGGGCTCTTGAAGAGCTGAAGCAGAAGATGGGTGGGAAAACTGTGAGGGTGAGGAGGGAGGAGCCTGACTCATGGGATAGAGGGCCCCCAAGACATATCAACAAACTCCCCAGGCTCAGCTCAGGCCCCACTCACCACTGTACGATTTGGAGTTAACCCAGTATCATTAGATGATGATAACAGCTGTGGTGACAGCAGAAGGAAACACCTCCTCTGATTAAGTCAGCTTTGTGTCACATTTTATTCTCAGGGCAGTCTAAGAGGCCTACCTCTATTCCCATATCTTTGTTGGCCGGATGCTCAAACTAAGCCTTGCAGAAGACAAGTGGATTGTCCAAGATCACACAGCTAGTAGGGCAGGTCCTGGTAAGGTTCTCCCCTACCTGGGACCCCAGGGAAAGTTCTCAGTGAGTGGTCACAGCTTGGTACCCTCAGTGAGTCTTCTACCTTCTGTCTGTAGTCTCTTATGGAATCTGTGAAACAGTGGCCTTGGGATTCCTCAGATTCTTTTCAATATAGGTTTCTTCAGAACCTCTTAGCCTCAGTGAGGCTTCTACAGGCTTCCAGGCAGGTGTAAAGGGATCACACCTGCCCTTTACACCTGCTCACTTGAGAACCCTCATTTGGGTTCTCAAGTGAGCACAGCAGGCTGAGGATGGCTGTGCTCTTTCCTCAATCAAAGGATGGGCTTGGGTATTTGTGCACCCCGGGATGTTCAGTTCAGTGTAATATTTCTTCCTGTCTCCAGCTCTTCATCTTGTAAGGGTTAACAGAAATATTAAACTACATTGTAAGAGGAAGTGCTAGCCTAATTCAACCCCCACGTGAAAAGGCCGGATGAAAAGCCAGTACTGGTAAGAAAACCGGATAGAACTAGCTACATTGTACAAGAAGTAGACAGAAATGCAGAGCACAGCACAGGGCCCTTCCCGTCAGGACAGCATAACCCCTCTGCCCTCCCCTCACATTTTAAACCTATCATAGGCCAAAGACTACATTCCTAGCCTTATATAGACTCAGCTTCATAAAGTAACCACGCCCCCTCAACTAACCCTATATAAGATTGTACCGATCCCAAATAAACAGCTTCGGCTCAGCCTTCTTCCTATACTGTATGAGTGGTTGTGTGATTGTGTCCACCCTTTCCCTCTCCCTCTCATACGCTGATCACGAGCTCCCCGACATGGCCCGCTGGTCGGGCAGTGTCACATCTCATTTTTTGTCTTTTTTTTTGAGTCTGGTGGTTTATTTGCATTCTCCACCTCTTTCTTGCCTGCTTCCACTTTTCATTCTCCTCGAAACTGGCCACAATATAATACTAAAGTCTGTCTTTTTAATTTCTTACACTGAGTGGTTTCTATTTTTTTCCCCATAAACTAAGTCAGTTTCTTCTGACCTGTTAAAGCTGCATGAAGCTAGTTTTCATTTATTTGTCTACTTGTTCATGTATGTAAATAAATAAGGGTTGGTGACTTTCTTTCCAAAAACAGCTTCTCTTCCTCAGTCCCACCCCTTTGGGGCCTGAGCACACCAGGGAGCTTGAGGATGGTCCAGGCAGAGCTGCAGAGGGGCACTGTGCCCTGCCTGAGAACCTGCCATCTGGCTGGTCCTTCCAGGGAGAGCTCAGGCTGCACACACCCCTTGCTGGAAATTCCCTGGGTGCTGGGGCCATCCCCTCATCTGTTGTCTAAATCACCCCATCTAGTCAGATCTTGGCTTTGCAGACACCAACCGCCAGCCCACCTGGAGCAGTCTGCTGTAGATGCCCTTCTGCAAGTTTGCTTTTCTCACTGAACAGTATGTTCTGGGGATCTCTCTTCATCTGCTCTCAGCATCTACGCTCTTCCCTAGGGATGCACCCCTGCACCACGTGGGCACTTACTCTGTTCTGTTGTTTTGTGATCACAAACAATGCTTTGGTGAATACTCTTGAGCGTATTTATTTTCATATTGTGGGAAAGTTGTCTTC